GCATCATATAGAATGCAACCTATATTTTCAAAATTATCCATTGGTTTTAAATTATTTAGATTGCTTAAACCATTTAGTATTTTAAAATAATGTATAAAGTTATTCCCCCCTTAAATTTACTTGATTGTTAAAAATATTGCTTAGAAGTTATATCGGGCCTCCCCGGTGGCGCAGCGGTTGAGCGCTGGGTTGCGAAGCTGCCCGCAGCCTCTGCGACGCAGGTTCGATCCCCGGCTGCTCCCCGGCCACCAGAGGAGGGTCCCACATGGCGCGCAGACCTCTCCTGCCGCCCGCTGCTCCCCTCAGCAGTGTACTTCGGTCCTTCTGCCTGCTCTGCTCCCCGCTCTGCCTCTGGTGAATTCTCTCACCCTCCCGCGCTTCTGACTGTACCCAGTGCATGTATAAACAAACAAACAAATAAATAAATAAATAAAACATGCCTCTATTTTAAAAAAAAAAAAAAAAAAAAGAAGTTATATCAAAAATAGCAATTTTTGTTTCACATGTAATAATTGTCAAGTTTCTACATGATAGAAACCAGAATATAACTTGAATTTCCTTAAGCTAAAAAGTGGTAGTTACTAGATTACATGCACAGTAGCAGTACACCTGGCTTAAAAGAGTCTGTAACCTACATCTGTCCCCATCTTACATCTTTACTTTCCTCTCTCTCTGCTATGTTTTCCCCCAGTGCATCTACCTTTGGGTGGGGCTGGGATGGTTGGTTAAGTGAGGAATCAGTCAATGGTCACTAGCTGCTCTGCACACACTTATTTCCAGTTTAGGAACCAATGAGAAAATCAACTTTTACCTTCCCAGCTCCAGTGAAGGATTTTCATGGTAGTTGATCATTATGATTAGCCTTGTCTGGGAGTCTCCCTGAGCTTTAGAGCTAGAAGGTAGAGTCTATTTTCAGAAGATGGGGAAAGGAGAACAGAGTTATGCTTGGCTCAGAACATACAAATAAAACCTGCTGTGTTGAATATAATGTATTCTCTCACACCTGTGGCCACCCCTCCCCAGTAAGAGTCCACCCCAAATGACACCCTATCACTGCATCCCTGGGCATTTAATGACACTGGTGCTTTTGAGATTCAGGACAATTCTCTGGGTGATATTTACTTCTCTCCATCAAGTCCACTTTTAACTCCTCATGATCCTTGTGATGATTTAAACCAACCCCAGCACAATTTATATTTGAAGCAAAAACAGCTTTGTTAAAGTTAAAATTGCCATTTAGTAAAAGGGAACCATGGTAGTCTCTAGTTGAGAGCATATAACATATCCTGCTGTCAGTGCTAGTAAACATTACTTCCCTGGCAGTGGATTTCTGCAGTCAGCCTGCCAGCCTCTCTGGGTCCTGCCTGCCAGAAGGATCTTCTCTGTTGTTTCCCATGGCACCAGGGGAGGAACACTGGACAGGAAGATGCCATAGATCTAGCAGCCACTTCATAGTTGTATGAAAATGTGAATTTGGGGAGTCAGTTTTAGAATCAGTTTGGGGGTTTTGGGTTTTGGGTTTGTTTTTGATGGTCTTATTTTTAGCAATGAAACTTCTTAAAATCTTGTTATTGTTTGCCCCTTTCATGCCAAGAGAAATAATATATTAATAACTAATGCTAGAATCTTTTTTTCAATCTGGATCTTTATATCTGACCCCATCCTGGAAATTTTAGCCACAAACCAAAGTGCTCTGCCCAATTCCTAAATCCTTAGATTACAGGTTTTTTAATTTAATTTGTTTTTCATTTTTTTTACTTGACCTTGAGGCCAGTGAAGATAATAAGAATCTCTCACATACCCAGATTCATCCCAATGGATTTTCCTTTGAAACTGGGTTCTTTCTCATGCAAAAGCTACTCCCCAGGAGGTATTAGTCCTAGGAGACTTGGCACATCCCATGTGGTATTCCTCCCTGTCTTGTTTTCTAACTTCTGTCAAACTAAAGTAGGAGGTAAACTGAGACCAGCTAAAAGTACTAGACATTGAGTTTACTCAGGGTAGCAGAAGGATTATAGTTCAGAAAATGCATGCTGTAGCAAGTTGCAGGGAGTACATTGAGAGCTTGGGACAAACTGTATTTCTGGAAAAGAAATGCAAGAGGAGTACATCCAGCCACAGTCCAAGCATTAAGTTCATTGACTTGAGTATGGGAGAGATTCGTGGGGAGACATTCACTAGTAAGGAGATAAGTCCTGGTTTTCTGTAAATTTTTCTCTCAGTCTGAGAGGGTACATGCATGAGATCCTCCATATCATATCCTCTGGTCCCATTTTAGATTGAAAGTCTTCACATTTTGGGGGGCAGAATATCCCCTGAGAGCTTAGATCACATGGAAGTGACCAAAAGAAAATCTGTTAACTGAAGATACATAGTTATGTTTCTGCTATGATGACCAGTTTCTGCTTGCCAAAGGACAAGCCTGGAATTTTATCTTTCACTTTCTTTTAGCCCACAGAGAAAAGTTCATGGAATATTCTCACATTTCCCCTACCCCCTCAATTTTTAAATGCTCCATCCTCACTGCAAAGATTGAGTCCTAAATGCAACCAAATATGATAAGACATTCTTAATTTCCCTTTTCTATTCATCATTTTTTTCTTTCCTCTCTTTGTTTTCTCTAAGAAGAAAATCTCTATCTACTGTTTCTCCTGTCTTCCTGATTTCTGATCACTCTTCTACCATTATCTGACTCATGTTCTCTGATTTTCTTGGTCACTCCGATTCCAACTCTTAGATCTTTCGGTTCCTGTCTTTTTTCTTAAAGAAAATGTATTGAACTAACACTGGGTTATAACCATATGAACCTTATAGTTCATATAACCTTAAACCATGTATACATTACATTATATTCTTCACTAAAATTATAGTTTCCATCTTTCACCATTTAATTGACCTCTTACACCCAATGTTCCCATTCCCATATTTCTTCTGGTATCACTAATTTTTGTTTTCTAAGAGTCTGTCTTTGCTTTGTTTTGTTCCTTGTTTAGTTTTATTTATCTTCCACATAATGAGTGAAAAAGAGAGTTTGGCTTCTGCCTGAATTAATTCACTATGTTGATCCATTTTGTTGTAAATGACAGGTTTTCTTTTTTTTTTTTTTAATAGCTAAGTGGTATTCCTTTGTGTGTATATATACCACATCTTCTTTATCCAAATATCTGTCAATGGGTATTTAGGTTATTTCCAATTGTTGCCTATTATGAACAATGCTGCAATGAGGGGAGGCTGTATAAATCTTTTCTAAATAGTTTTCATATGCTCTCTGTAAATACCAGAAGAGGAATTACTGGATCATATGTAATTTATATTTTTAATTTTTTGAGAAGCCTCTGTTCTGTTTTCCTTAAAGCCTATGCCTTGATTCCTCTTTTTAAGTTACTTATCCTGGTTCATAAGTCCTGTATATTTTTACATCTGGTCACTTTTTCTATCACCAGGACCAACACCTGCATCAACCCTGATCATCTTTACTCCAGCTCATGATAATTATTGGCCAACAGTTTTTGCCAACAATTTGTTTTTTTCCCTTCTCTAACTAATGGTATTCATTTATTTTTAATATTCTTAATATCCTTCATTTATTCACTCATTTTTGCTATGTGTCAAACACCAGACAGGTTATTGCAGATAAAATAATGAATAATACAAAGCAGCCTCAGCTCCCATGGAAATTATAGTCTATCATGAGGGGATAAAAGTAACTCATCATTAAGAATGGGGCTTGTCTATCTGGTTTTCAGAACTCTCCTCAGTATAATCACAACTTATTTCCTGTCCTGTCAGTGCTAAAAGCATACAGCTGACTTTTAGAATATACCTCTGTTTACTTTCTAGACATAGATAAAAATGCTATATATGATGAGGTTGCTGGTGAGTGGCTGTCAGTGGACTCACAACTAGACTCAGTGACTTTAGGCATGGCATAAACTGCATCTAAATCTCTTTGTGTCTTAAATGACAAAAATAAAAACAATTGCTGAAATATATTGAATATTTATTTCAGTCCAGTATAACCTATTGATTAAAAGAAAAGATTTCCAGTCAAATTGCCTGGGTCTGAGTTCTGGTTCTACTCTGTTCCTTATTAGCTATTATTAGCTGACCTTTATATCTCAATATGTGATGCATAATACATCTGTAAAATGGGGAGAGTGATTTGGGAATGATTAAGTTAATAAAAAAAGTAAATAAATACATTAAAACAGTGCTTAGCACATTGTTAGACTGTAAAAGTCTTAGCAATTTCTACTATTAGCTTTCTATGTAGCTAATACTATTATCCTTATTTAACCAATAAGTAAATTATATACCTTGCCCAGGGCCACATAGTTTAGTGATAGAGTAGGAGTTTCTAACATGGACATTCTGCCTTCAGAGCAAATGCTAGTAACTATTACTCTAAATAGTCTCCATTATAGGGTTAATGTAAGACTGTAGTTCATAATATTTTACAAAATTTAAAATTATAATGACTATGAATATGTAAGATGTTATTATCCATACAATAAGATATGATTAAAGAAGACACTAATTTATTTCTTTTCCATAACTTGAAACCTTTTAGCTATACCTTGAAACCTTTCAGCATACCAGTAATTATATTAATAAACATTTCTATGTCATTATATAATTTAGACAAGCTTTCACATACACAAATTTGTGTAATTCTCACTATCACTTTCTGAGTTTGTCAAAATCAGTATTATTATCTCCATTTTAAAAATGAGAATATAGAAGATTAGAAAAGGTAAGTAACTTGCTCAGATATTCAAAGAGAGCAAATGAGAAAGTCTTTAACATCTGAAATCCTAAATCTCTTCATTTCTTTCACTCTAATAACCTACTGTTCATTAATAATTTACCTTCCAACTGATTGAAAATTAATTTTATAATATAGTATACTATTACAAATATATGTACACAAATATTAACATACATTTGCATATAAAGGCATAACTATTTGTACTAATATTCTTTCCCTTTTCTTTTTAAAGATTGTGATTGCTAGCATCATGTGCAGTTACAACAAAAATGACTGGATGGAACTCTCAAAAATGGCTGAGGTAATGATTTCTTTAGTATATATTTATTTTATTTCTTCTCCTCTGTTTTTATTAGTTTTAAATAAAGAGCCACCATGAAAAATAATGTAATAGAACTAAAATTGAATGGAAAATCATAACTTAAAGCATTTCTATTATAATTTGTTTACCCTGTATTTTCATTAAAATGATGGAACTGTAAATTTAAAAGGAATCTATTCTATAACAGTGGTCCCTTGGATTTCACATACTACCTAAAAATCTTTTATTCTGTGAATCCATATACTCTTGATTTGCATATTAAGCAAACTGTGTATTATGATGGATGCCATGATAAAATTTAATTCTACCTTTGAGAGTCTAACTTGATCTTACCTTGCCTTTAGGCAAACTAGTTTGACAGTGAGAAAAGAAATTTTGAATATAAAACTCTTGAATATTTAAAATGTAAAAGGTTCATTTAATACTATTCTAGTTTGAATACAGACATGCATAAAATGGTAGGACAGAATGCTCCTGAATGGAACACTAGTCAGCAGGTTTTCTATAATATAAATTGAATCTTTCACAAATGCAAACAACTAACCATGTGCCTCAAATTTGTTTTTCAAATAGAAAAATACATACTTAAAATTATACACTATGTCCATCATGCTGTCATGAAAAATACTCTAGACAGCTTTAGCTGGGGTGCCTTCAGAAACCTCACAGACATTTACAAGACTAAATCTAACAATACTTATGAACTAATGATGCTATACTATACAAGGTTATGAAGCTTTCTATAGTGTTCAGAAATGTTGCTTGTACATTTTATTTGGGTAGCTTAAAATTGTAAGGGGAAAAATTACTTCTGGGACTTAGGGGGGCGAAATTAAACGTGATCAGTAATTGGCTCTGTGATCTTCGGTGCTGGGTCCATTTTATACATGTATTTACCTAATTGACCATGAAATCTTCCACAGAGTCTATGCTTGGCATGAGCTTTGCCAATTTTAAGCTGACTATGATGAATGGCTTTATCACGCTGCTTGCTTCTCTGCCTTTCTGTAGAGTAAAATACTTTCAAAATTATTTTCTTCGGTAATGAGCATTAATTTTTAAATAGTAGATTTACTTTTAAAAAGTCAAAAGCCTTTATTTTAGTAATATACTAGTCAACTTAAAGATGTTTTTCACATTTATCACATTCCGTATCTATTTCTTTAATTGCCATTTTATTTAATATAGCTTTCTAAATAGTAAGAGCAGAAAAACAGAAAAAGTGGGGGAAAAAAACAAAGGAAGGTCTTTTTTTAAGAAAAGGAAATAATAGGCTTTCCATTCAGTCAAAACAGTCTGTGAAATCTCTCCACAGGAACACAATCTACCTACCGTGAAGGTCAATCTGAAGATTGTGTCAATTAAAAACAGAATTTCCTATAATCTTAAAATGTAGACCAGTCAAGGGCTAGCTATCACTTGAAGTAACTTTCCCCAGATCTTTACGTCCTCTGAAAGGGCTGATGAGCCTATGGGATTCCATCACAGGTCACATGTATGGTAGACCCCCAATAATGTCTGGTAGAGACAGTATAAGATTTCGTTTTTATGACCACTCATTCAAAAAAGATTAAAACATATTTTTTGTATAATGGAAAAATCCACATTAAAAAAAGTCAACAAAAACAAAAAAATGTGCTCAAACCAGGGTGGCTATACTAGTTACAGTGTACATTTCTTTGGGCCTGGTGATAATGGGCTATAAGAAATGAGAGCCATCACACAGGCAGTTCCAGCATGCCACCATTATAATCCTTATAATAGATTAATTCTTGAATTACACAATAGGGAACTGAGAAAACCTGCTATCACCTCTTTATTATTATATCTGAAAATAGAAATAGCACATGTGTAACAGCAGAAAAGATCTAGTTCTGCTGTATAAGAACATGAAAAAATAAAAATAAAGAAACTATGTCAGAGTGAAAATTTGTACAAAGGAAGAATCATTATTGTTTGTTTCAACAGAGGCTGTCTGGGTAACTCAAAATATGGTCAGTTCAGTTTGTGACTGTTTTCAAAGTTAATGTATATCCAGTGTGCATGTGTGTGTGTGTGTGTGTGTGTGTGTCTTCTTTATCATGCATGTATTCTGGAGAAAAGTTTGTTTTCCCCTGGAAATAAAACCATGCTGAGTCTTCATTTTCACTCTAACCTTACAATGTGCATTTTTTTAATATCTTCTCTTATATATTCCTCAACTTGGGTTGAATCAGTCATATTTTTTGAGCACCATTTTGAAGAGCAGTATCTGGAAAAGTGTTTACAACTTGGTGCTCAGTTTTCTTGGTCCAGTTATCTGAACACAAATGCTCCTACTTTTCTGGAACATTGATAACCTATTTTAATTTCACACAGAGGGAGATCTATGAAGTTCCTACTATACACAGATTTCTTGACCAGTCAAAACAAAGGTGACTAAGATAGCCTTGCTATGTAGATGGGTTCACAGCTTAAAAATGTCATCAGAGATATACCAAATTGAAACATACTAAAGGCTCACAAAATTAGTTGAACTTTTTGTAATAGATCTTGGATTTCTTTCTTTCTTTCTTAATGTATATTAACTCAGAAAACAGAGCCTTGAGTCAAAGTCAATGTTCAGATGCTTTATTGAATGAGACAATCCCAGATCAGTAAGGGTGAGAAAATACAGAAATGAAATAGGGAAAAAAAGGGAAGCAGACACAGTATAGTAAATTATGGGGCTCACTCCAACTTCATGTGGGAAATGAGGCCAATTACTCAGTCATATGGGACCAGGAGTGCTGTATGGAATCACCCAACCTCACAGCAGTTTCTGGGAGAGGGAGGGTGAGAATGTATCTACTGGGTCCTTCTGATGTCTTGTCTCTTACTCCTCAACTTTCACACCATAGGGCTTTACTTTCCTCTGCACTTTTGGGCTGTATGTTCTGCCTGCTTTGGGCAGCTTCTAGGAAAACCAAGTCCCACACCATGTTGTGAGGAAAAGCCCTGAGCCTGTTGGGGAGGCCTGTACACTGGCACCCCTGGAGCTCCCACTTGGACACATACAGTAGAAGTTGTGACAGCTTCTGTGAAAGTTGTGAGAGCTAGTAATGGGAGGAACTGTGAGGATAGAAATGGGGACTGGCTTCCTTTTTTGAGCCAGTGGCTAAAGCTTGGCTGACAAAAAAGCTCATCAAGTTAGAGGAAGCATGTAAGCTGGGTATGGATCCATATGCATATGCATTATATTAGCACCCTAATCCAAGTTTATTTTGGATAGCACCACTAATCTTGCCCTCAGTAGATCCCAACTCTTCCCATTATCTTTTTTAAGATTCAAAAATCTTTGACTTCTGTTCAATCTGGTGTCTACTTATATCCCCAGACAAAACAGACAGAGGCACATTATAGAAATATATAGGGCCAGTTTGATGTAAGGCCCTGAACAGGTACAGTAAGGAAAGCAGAACAGTATTAGGAAAGATGGGCACTTAGTTGGAGATAAGAGATGCACATTACCATGCCCAGGGGGCCCAAGCCAATTCAGGGTTTACCTGTCCCAGGTCCACTTCAGAGCGATTTAAGATTCCAAAGAACTTTATCTCTGGTTTGCATAATTGAGACTAGATGTCAGTGTTGCTACCTACCAATATCGGACATCATATGTTCTTTTAATAGGAGAAATTAAGAAAGAATCTAGACATGTACATTTCATGTCATGCCAAGGAAGATCCTTCCTGCTTGGATTGATGCCCTTTGCTGTTTTAATATCCATGGGAGCATAGCTTTCCCACTTGGACTCTGAAAAGCCACTCCCAGCCACTCTCCACACTGACATTGTTCTCACTGTGCTCGGGATCTCACACCCCACACTCAGGCAAGTAGGGAAGTACTCTGTACCTGATTTTGTGGTGTACGTTGTACAAGCTTTTGTGGTCTTACTACCCTAGTTACACTGAGAGGTCTATAAAGTGATTCAAAGATTTTTTAAAAAGTATGCTACTACCACTGTTCTGAGTCCTCAGAAGAGTTTTCTTTCCCCTCCCTCATCCCTAAGTTATAGATAGTATCCTGCAATTTGAATTAAATCCTTTTTCGTTTCAAGGCTCAGAAATGGTGACGATTCTAGTCAATGGGTGGATGGATGAATAGGTAGACAAATAGACAATAATTGCTTATAGTTACACAGTATTTATTACAGTTCCTGGCACTATTCTAAGTTTTGTTTACTTTCCTTAATTTTATTTTTATCTTAAAAAAGCAACCTTATGAGCAAGATCTATAGTTTTTCACTTTTTAGAAATAAAAGAAAGTGAGGTAGAAGGTGTTAAAGAATATGCCCAAGTTCACATAGCTGGTATGCAGTATAAGTGGATTTCAAACCCATGATATCTGGCTCCACAGTCCATGATAATCACATAAACTTTCTTCTTCATATAGATAAATGGGTGATAAATAGATAATATATGATATTAGGAATGGCGAATTTTCTGTCACTCCTTCACTTGATTAATTTATTATATAATCATTTAGGTGAAGTAGAATTAACTCTGGGCTAAGTGACTAAATGAAAAAGCTTGTGACTAACAGGAGTCAGAATGCATGCCCAGTTTCAGTTAATTTAACATTTCATGCTAATTCAGCAATTAAGGCTTTTTGAATGGTTATAGTCCCTTGGAAATGGAATTACCTGCCTTTTAAGGCAGTATACATCCTGTGGCAGGAATCGTCAAATAAAGCCAAGTGAATATTCCTGAATTCTTGGTATCTACTTGAGCGCCACTTTTTTTAAGACCTACATGCTCATTTTAAAGACTTTTTCAGATGTTTTGGGTGAGCTGATAAATTTATCTATATGTATATAACTGGGGAAATATTTAATAATTAGTCACTAAAAGACTAAATTAAACAGGTAGTTTACAAAGGTAATAATTTTCGCTTATATACAAACTTTAAGGTTTAAATTGTTATGTTTTTCTTAACCTACTATAAGAACTCTAGTCATCAAATAAGTGACTTCCAATTAGTTATGATAATGACTTGCAATCCAAGTTGAGTCCAGACCCTGGACTCAAGGCTCTTGGGTATATGGGCCTACTCTCATTTACTAGTTATAGGAAGTTGGGTAATCATTTGAACTCCTTGTAGCTTGGTTTGTTATTTGTAAAATGGGAATCATGACACATCCTCTTATAAATAGTCTTCTGAAGTACCTGGCATATTACAAGTGCTTAAAAATATTAGTTTTTATTATTTACCATGATAGCTAACTGTAGGTTGCACTTGAATCTCAGGAAATATATAAATGTAAATATGTATACAAGTGCCACCTAACGCTTATCTATTCCAAAATGTTGCATTGATTTAACATTAAGTACTTTATTTCAGCTAAATAAAGAAGTTTAGTGGAAATATTTGAAATAACTATGAACTGCTAGGAATGATACAATATTGTATGTAATTGCAAAGAACAGTCTTTTAAGTAAGCTGGTAATTCCTGAGGGAGGTCATATTAGTAGATGGAAGCAAGGAAGTTTAGCTGACTTATCCAAAGCATCCCCACGTCCTTATCAGACCTGGGATTAGAGTTCAGGGTTTACTAGGTTGTGCTTTGTTAACCTTCAATATCAAACCAACAGGCACAAAGGTAGCTAATTCATGACAATTTTCAAATACCTGAAACATTTTACAACTGAATTAGAAAGGCAAAAATCATAATAAAACTGTTATAAAAGAATTTGAATGATCAAATGAACTTGCACAAATGTGCAGAAGAAAAAGCAGAATCACTAATAAATGAAGATGGGCAAGAAATTGGAGAAAAAGCTGATTTGAATTTTTAAGTTTGTTGAAGGCCTTTTTAAAATTCATAAAGCAGGAAAAAGAGGCAAAAATCTTGAACAGTTAGGAAGAGAGACCTGGAAAAAACAGCTATTGGGCTAAGGAAAGGTCTAATATACTTGGAAAATAGTAGGCTGTTTTTAATTCTTTGTACAATGTGACAGACATTGTAATATATGGAAACTGATTTAAGACCTAACTGTCCTTACTTAAAAAGAAATTCTGGCATTGGAGAAACTCTAGAAGTTAGGTAGAAGAATATAAGGTATGAATCATTTATCCATTAATGCTCAAATTACTATATTAAACTCTAGAAACCATGTTTTGCATTTTCTTAGAGTTTTCACAGAAGACTTCTAAAAAGTTCTGCGGCTCTCCAAATATTCTAAGTATGTAAAGAGTGAACTATTTTGTTCATTTATGCAGAATCCATTTGTATACCAGTGAATTAAGGAGTTAAATAAGAAGGTTCTTCATTTAATTATTAAAGTAAGACAAAATTACCAGTATTGTGTGTTTCTTAGTATGGACTTGTTTAATACAATAAAATTGATTTTCAGTTAAAAACATTTTAAAATTTACTCATTCATTCTAGCTAGCCTACTGCATTTTAATTTGCACTCCTTCTAGTAGCAATTATCCAGAATTAGTAAGAATTATTTCTATAAAAATAGAAGCTGTGCAGGGCAGATAAATGTGATGTCAAACAGACCTGCGTGAAAATCTCTGCTGTGTCACATAATAACCAGACTGTCATTTATCTGCCCTGTGCTGGGATTTCCTTGACTGTAAAAATGATATCAGCATTATCTAAGGATTATGAGAATTAGAAATAACAAACATAAAACACTTAGAACACTGACACCTTATTAGTAGTCAGATATTAGTTGTTATTTTTGTTGTACACCCTCAAATTTTAGAGAGTCGGAATGTACCTTACAAGATAGCAAAGAGGCAGATAACAGAATAGTTCCGATTGGACAAATGGCATCTACATTGAGTTATCCGTGGTAAAAGCGTATCAGCATACAAATAACGCTTGTATTTTTCTTTCATTTTTCTTCCTCATTTTAAAGGCTTCTGGAGCAGATGCCCTGGAGTTAAATTTATCGTGTCCACATGGCATGGGAGAAAGAGGAATGGGCCTGGCTTGCGGGCAGGTAAGGACTTCAGCAGCTGCTGCTACATGTGTGTGACAGAACAGGCTCCTGTTTGGATAGTTACTATACCTTAGGCAAGGAAAAGTGTGGATCAGATGACTGGTTTGAGACTTCCAGGTCTGCATTGTTTAAATATTTAGTGCTTAAAAAGTGGAAAATGAGGGAAGCTGAAATTACAGCAACTGTTTAGTTTTATTGAGGAAAATATCACATTATGTGCTTGACAGGAAGTAATATCATAACAAATAGTTTTTAAAAGCGCTGAAGCAGAATTAGCTGATTTCAAATGCAATGTTCTTTATTCATTCCTGATGCTGATCCAGTTTCCCTGGAGCAATATACTGTACAAAATGCATTGTTCCTAGTGATTTTGTAGTAAATGGGGCACAGCACAAATTGCATTTTACATTTTTTAGCATATGATCATTATTCTCTAACTGTGTTTTGGGAGTTGCAAAAAGACTTTGATGCTATTTTTATTTTTGGATACAATAAATGGAAACTTCATGCTAAAATACTTTCAAAAACCTAATGAATAAAATGTGGAAAAATATGTTAATATGTAGAAAATGCTGCATCTTTATGTAACTAGATACAGTGTTGTATGTTAAAAAGCTATGTAAAAGCTTAATGCTGAAAAGGTGAGAGTTTTGCATCTAATTTAGCTTTTAAGCCCAGAGGGAGTTTGGTGTGAATTAAATAATGCGAAATGTTGTAATTTATGACAGATTTTCTAGTCCTGGAAGTTTAGTTTCATCTTCACATCTGTCACACTGCCTTGTACACATAGTAGGTACTCAGCTCACTCTCTTTTTCCCCAAGTAATTGAATCAATTTGAATGAAACTCTGAGGCCCATAATTTGAAAGGGCACAAATTTCTGCTTATTCAAATGAGTATAGGTTGCTATTTTCATATTAGCATTCAGGGAGGATTTTGAAGTACCTTGTAAATATTTAATTAACATTCAGAATAGATTTGTGACTTATGAAGAAACCATTCTTTTGTAGCAGCAGGAGAGGAGGGCCTAGTCAAATGTTTTTCAAGTGTAGCCTGCGTTCATTCACAACAGGTTACCCAGAAGATCAGTAAGTGTGGTAACACAACCAAGCCTCAAAATTACCTGGTAGAGAGGAAATGCATTCTATTAAATAAAGACTTTAATGAGTTACATGATTAGATAACACTTGGTGTGTCAAAATATGTAACTTGATTAAAAAGAGGAAGTTGCCTAAAAGGACAGCAGAAACAAGGCCTGAGGTTGTCCAGTTCTCTTCTACCTCCTTCACAGACTGACCCTCAGAAACACAATAGTTTTTATTTCCATAGACAAAAGCAACCATGGAAAATTGAAATCTGTTAACTGATTTTTGAAAGGAGGTTACATTTAATTGCATATCCCTTGCTACATAGATGACAATTATTTTGAAAAATGCTCCCCAAATCCCATCTTGAGTTCATTTGGTCCTTTCATTTTACTCTGTGAACACATCTGAACTTAGCCACTTTACACGTTTTAGATGTGTTTTTTCCAAGGAGTTATTTAGTCAGGTAATTTTTGTGGTGCCTTTGACTGAAAGAAGATACCAAGTGCTACAGTTTTGCCTCAAAGTTATCAAGATTTCTCAAGCTCATGGGACACATGTGTTCCCCAAACCATGATGCCTTAGGTTGAAGGAACCTGAGGAATTTTCCGTTTTACTTGTTAGCTATAGTCTCTAAAACTGAAACCAATTCTTCCTATTACCAGGTTCAGAAAGTTTATTGTCTATTATATAATTGAAAAAGAGTTAATTTAGTTAATTGTGTCCTTATATATATGTTTAATGATTACTCTGCCTCAGGACACATGAATGTTCATGTTTTAAATGGAAAGAAGGAAGAATATTAGAGCATTAAAAAAGAAAAGCTTATTCTCTAGAGTGGACACAAGCATATCGGGACGTATTCATCTTTTCCTCTACTTCTTTTTTCCTTTTCTGTTTTCTGCTCCCGTGGCTTCTTTCTCCCTCCCTAACATTCATAATCTTGAGTACTCACAAGTTGGTGAAATGGGGACTATATATTCAGTGTTGAGGGATGGAGGAGCCACTTTAGCTCCTGTCCCTGTGCTGGGCATCCTGTGTTCCAGCTGGTGTGTGCCTCTTTGTGCAGAGCACAGAACTGTTCCAGAGCCTGGTAAATGTTAGCTTCATGAATGAAGCAAACTGACAGCAATTCCATGGGCAGAATGTGTATCAGTTAGAAATACTGTCTTGCAGTTTCCCTATTCCTAATATTTCCAGAAATCGTAGTATTTTTAGCCCCTTAAGAAGAAACAGAGAATCATAGTAGGGTACGTTTTCCTCTGTAAACATCTGTTTTCTCCTCCTTGATCTCACATATTTTCTTGTTAATATTTAATAAGTGAAAATACTGCCTTTGTACCTAAGTGAGTTTAAATTGACTATGTATGTGCATGTGTACGCACATGCGCACGCGCGCGCGCGCACACACACACACACACACACACACACACACAAAGTTCTTTATAAATGCTCCCAGAAAATGACAAAAAATGTGAAATTTAGGAATGGAGAAAATTATTATCTATACAATACAGAGATGATGTTTATTTGTACATTAATAGTAATTTAAAAATTCCTGTAAAGTAAAACTTCATATAAATTCTTTAACACTTGGCATTGCTAAGTGCTTAAATGTAGTCTCACTCTTTGATCTTTCCATCAGCCATCTATGTCACTTTGATCAAGCCATTTACTCTCCTGAAACATCAGTTTCCATCTCTAAAATTTGACAATTGAGCTGGATCATTTAATCCCCTTCCAACTTTAATATTTTGTGAACATTAGCATTATAGGTAGCAAGTTCGTATGTTATTTTTGAGCTCCCCATAAAGAATATTAACAAAACAAAAACATCTACAGAAATAAATACATATTGGGCTTTTTTTTAAACACTTTAATGTTTTTCCTGATTTGCATAAAAATCAGGGATTTACTCAAGCTGTTCCTAATTATTCCTGTGTACTCACTTTTTTAAGATACATTTTATTTTCTTTGAGGAATGAATGCTTAAGTTACAGTTGTTTTGAAGACTTTGGTTAATAGATACCTAATATGAGTAAAATAGAACCCTTGAGGTTTTGTATGTCAGTCCATTTCTTCTACCAGATTTTGCACATGAATTAATGGTATCCCCAGTAACTGCAGGTGAAACAAGAATGAAAAGAGGATTTACTATCAATTGGAAATATTTGAGAAAGTCAGATTTATCTTTGATTATATTCAAACAGGAAAATATATATGTATGTCTTATTCCTTCTCTTCAAAACAACCCTCTCAAGTAGGTTGAATTTTTATCTTATTTAACAATTTGAGAGGAAAAGACTTGAGGCCTCCATGTTTTCCAGGTCACAAATCTGGTTATTGACCACCATGGTGCCAACTTTAGTCAGCATGTAAACCTGAATCCAGGGAAGACACCTGAAACAGCTCCTGATAAATTGGTATCCCAGTGTCAGCATTAAATGTTATTATTGGGCCTTACCTGGTGGCGCAGGCAATTGAGCGCAGCGCTGGGAAGCTGTCCGCAGCCTCTACAGCACCAGTTAGATCCCGGCTGGCCGGCAAGGGTCCCACATGGCACGGCAGACCTCTCCTGTCATGCCCGCTGCTCCCCTCAGCAGTATATTTAGTCAGTCTGCCTGTTCCCCGCTCTGTCTCTGGTGAATCCTCTCACCCTCCCGCATATCTGGCCTGTACCCCGGTTCTTATATAAATAAATAAATAAATATTTTTAAAAAGCCTTTTAAAAATATATTATTATTAACTGAAAATTAAGTGTAGGGTTAGTTCAGGTCTAGAGTCTTTTGTAGTTGAAAGTTCCATTGCTTTAAACATATAAAACACAAGCAAATCTGATCCTACTCTTCAACTTTTCTGTCTCCTGAGAGTAAGGGAACATCTCTGATGTCTTAACATTGAGATTCAAAGCTGTCTACATGCAAACTAGATTTTCTGTGATAGTATATTACTTTCTATACTAAATTGAATTTTGGTAAATCTATAAAATCCAGCTAACATGACACATCTTTGATATCTTCTTTTCCTTAATGCTAAGTGGTCACATAGTATTGAGTGTTTCCCCTTTTGTCCTTGAATAGTTTAGTTATGTTGACTATTTTAACATCCACCTTGCAGAACCTTCTAACCTAAATTCCAATGAGAGCTGAATAAGCCTTGAATAGCTTTTTGTTGTGGGTGTTGTTTAGTTTTTGAAATTATTACCAGCATTTAAAAAATGGGTGATTCTGAGGGAAACATTTGATTTCTCACTTATTTTGAAAAAAAGGGAAGATTGGCTACACTTGACCTGCATTGCCAGGCAGGAATGAGGAACCTGAACTTAGATAGGGTCCTTTACTGTATCCGGTCCATAGAAATAACAGTAAACATTTGACCAAGGATAAGTGCTCATTCTCAAACATGGATTTGAACAATGTGCCTTTGTGATTCTAACTGTAAATATCAAAACAAAACCTTCTCAAGATTGTTGCTGACCCTCTGTGTTCCTGACATTGAAGAATCTCTATGCTCCCTTTTTTTAAAAAAAAAAATGGTATCTTTAATTCTATCAGCTACCAAAAGAAAAAAAAAAATAGTTGAGGTAAAGATGCTTTACCTTCCTCCCTCCCTATTTTATTATCCACATGGGATAAAATAAGAACACAAGGCAGTTTGCTCCACAGGACTTCTCGATAAAAGTTACATAATCCTCTTGAAATCATTTCTTTCCTGCCATCATAAAAACATAATTTTTCAGATCTTTTTCTTAAGTTATTTTTCACACCAGCTGTTTGTTTCTTTCTCTTGAGTCAGTGATGTGACATGGTTAAGTACAGATTTTTTAAACTCAGAAGAACTTAAGATTCAACCCCCTATTTACAGGGAAGACATTAGGGACTGGGAAGGCCCCTAATTTGTCATACCCTGAGGTAAC